GTAAAGGAAAAACGAAATGGAGTACTCTCCACTTTCATGGATTTATAAACGGTCCATATCATAGATCTTTTTTTCTTGATTTTTTTTTTTACCTTCTATTTAAATTGATCATTGATATATAATTTTTTTTGAGAGGATTGTTTTCAATAGAGATAAGGATCCAGTCAGAATTATTATATTAACCTAAACGGTTTGTGATGCTTATGTGGTGGCCTGTGAAAGGCGTGACCTTACCATGTTTGTCTTTCGATATTCTGAGTTTTCTATGTTTTACTTTTTCTCTTTTTGCATCTCATTTTCTTGTTTCTCATTTTTTTATTTAGTTTAGTTTATCAGCTTTAAGTAAATTTTATCCTCTATCGAACGGAATCTTATATATAGCATATCTTTTACACTCTTCAGATTTATTTCTTTTATTTTATTAATATATTGACAGCTTTCTTTACGTACATTGTTATTTTGCTTCTACAGGTGCATAATATTCTTTATTATTACTCGTCAAAAAATTTATATATTTGTTTATGTTAATCTTATAGCTATTTTTTATTATTATAAAGACCTGAGGAAGTGCAAAAGATTATTTTGGTCTTTTTTACTTAGCACTTTATGGGTTCAGTAATGCATGAAAATGCCTTTAATCGGTATGATATGCTTAAGGAGCTTGTTGTGCATCGGTCAGAGTGGGCGTGGACGTATCTCAGCTTAGGCAATTTCACAGAGTCCAAGCGTTTGGGTTTATTAGAAAATGATGTATTGGTATGGGCTGCTTCGCTAGCGCTTTCTGGCGATTGCAGGCGTGCGATGCTCATCATCGAAGCCTATATCGTGGCTACTTGCGAAGTCTTGTGTGATCTTCTAAAAGAAAAAAATTGGAATAATATGAGCTCAGTGAGTGAATTGAGCTTGCTCCAGAAACATAATATCAGCATGGCTAAATGGTTAACGACACGCAAGTGGGGTGGGAAGCTCAACCAGGAGAAGACTAACGATCGACCACCAGAAACCTCACCTTCACTTTCAAACTCGAATCTCGGCGATGGGGTACTGGATCGGTCAATTGATAACATCGCTCTTTTAAAGTATCAGCGTGTGATTGCGATTGTGATGCAGCTGGTGAGCTGGCGCGATCTTCACCTTTGGTACGTCATCGCCTTGACCCTCCTGAATGATGTCGAGGCGGAGCAGCCGTACTCGGCGCCTGTAAATAATATTTGGTTCCGCTATTTCTTTGCGTTCTCGTACAGCGAAGACGAGACTGTTCGCAGTGACTCCGAACCTCAGGACGGGTCTAATGGTTTAGCAGGGATAACGCAACAGAAGGCACTTGAATTCCTTATCTCGCAGTGTAGTGAATGGGAGGTGTTTTTCACGTCTGCCATCTCGGCGTTCCACATGCTGCGTTATCGTACCAGCATAGAATTTGCCTCACGTTTTTTAGATATTCTACCTCGGAACGGGAAGTCAAAAAATAAAACGTACGATTTAGTGGTACCAATTCCCGAGGAGCGGTTCTACCGTATTTCGATGCTTGTGGTTCGTTGTCGAGCCTTACTTGAGCTGGGGCTCCGGGCTGAGGCTGCGGAGGATATTGTTGAACTGATGAAGGAGGAAATCGAAGGAAAAGGGACCCCTTCTGAGTATATATCCATGTTTGGTTGCGCGCTAGCTCTCTATGGGATGCCTCTGCGTGATGCGGCGGAGCCGCTGGTTGGCTTCTTCTCGTCGGACCAAAGTAACCCCCTTGCAGCTCCCTTTCCAGCCCAGGTGCACGTTCTATCCACTGCTTACTACGTACACGCCCTCACGCTACTTCAGCTAGGGCAGATGGACCAGGCGGTCCTTGTAGCGAAGGTTGGGCTCAACCTCGCCGTGCCCTTCCACATCAAGGAAGCCCTGAAGGAGGTAGTCCTGCGAGCCTCCGTCGCGCGCGAGGATTCGACAACCATTTTGGAAATGTCGATCACAGCGCCGCATCAGCTCGTCTATCTCTCGCTCTGCCCTACTTTTTTCGGTGGGTTATCGCCACACGGGGTCCATGCGAGGCGCAACACACCGGCCTTTCGCTTACTCTACCCCACCAAACTCCCGCTCTACACCAGCGCTCGTCAGCTGCTGCCGTTTTATATGAATCGTGCGTTTTGTTTGTTTCATCATCACTGCTTTGCTGAGGCGTGGAATGCGGTGTGCTGTGCGGTCGAAATCGCGGATGAGATTGCGGGGTCAACTGAGTTTGTTTTCACACATTGCTTCCCACTTTATGTATACTACTACGCGTGCAAAATTGGTTTCACCGCATTAGAATACGTCCTACAGAAGGATATCCGAAAATGCCTCGTGGGTGAGAACAACCGACTCACTTCAAATTTTCCATCCTTTGTTGGCATGAATAGTTTCCTTTCACGAAGGGAACGAGGTGGGGCCTCCTTCACGGCTTCAGAGGGAACTATCCCAGAAAGTTTGACAAATGATGCTGATGGTAAATCCAGTATCGAGATTATTGACTTCTGTCGCTATTGTGTGAAGCAAATGCATGCTCACTACCCCCATTCTGTCCTGGGCGACGTTGCAGCCGCACAGGTGGCTGTTATGAGCTACGAGCCCGACTCCGTTATGCGGGCCGTATTGCTATCACGCCGCTATCCTAAGGTAATCCTCGCTCAAACCACTTGGGCCCTTGCTCTCTTCTTTGACAATAATATCTCCAATGCGATGGACGCTTCACGAAAAAACTTTCAAGATTTTCCACACTCAAAGGAGGTTGTGAGCACCCAGAAATGGATGGGACTCAAAGGAATAACCTACACCTTTTACTATCGCACCCTTTTGCCAATGGAATACGGCCCTGGCTCAAAGAACCAGCGCTTTACGAAACGATTTCTCGTAAGTATTGCGTTGGTTGCCATAAATTGGCTTGTATACTTGTACATGCTGATCGTCAACTTAACGTCCTACAGGCCTTTGAACCTTTCCGAAACCCTTGGGGCGGCACTCACGACACCGGCCACATGGACGTTTATTTTCCCCCCAATATTTCTTGTCTATGGCTTGCTAATGACTTTCTCTTCGAAGAACCTTATTCAATCACTGCTTGAAGAGCTTCATTTTTGTGGGGGGAGACTTAACCGCTTTATCTTTGTGATGCGCAGTGTTGTTTTGTTTAATGCGGCGAACATGCTGCAGATTATTTTTTCTAATCAATGGAAGTTGCCTAACAGTTTCCTCCTCACAACCCTTTTGGTTATACTTATGATCGTATTAACGATGCCTTTTACTACTCGAATATGGTTTCTGCCCTCCGTTGATGAGCCACAGGTTGAGATCTTGCGATGGGTATCGCTTCTGGTAACGGATGTTGTAATCTACGCTTTCGTCATCATTCCTCATGTTATTCTTGCGGCGTTTGAGCCCCTCATGGCGCTCGCGTTTTTTTTCTTGGTCCCTAAAGAGCAACTGGGTATCCACACCGATACAGCGAGCATCCGGCGAAGGTTGTTGTATCATGAAAAAAACCGCTATACCCTTCCACCGCCCGGTGGTGTGGGTGGCGGCAGTTCGTTTATATACATCAAGCTCATGAAGCTTATCTACTACGAAACTCACATCGAGTTGACCTCCAGGTATTTAGAGAAGTCGCAGATCGAGTCGGAAGGGTATCGAGTCTTCCCCCTCCTCGACGAGACCCTCGCGTTGAGCATCCCGGTCAACCACTCCTGGATCGACTTCAACGTCATACAGTTGTTCCTGTGCAAAGAACGACGCACCAGTTGCCCTATCGCCATGAACCCACTAAACTGGACGGATCCGACTTCCTCAAAGGTTTCGTTGGATTCATCGAAACCGTCGAGCCCGGTTATGGAGGCTTTGGTCTCCCCGTCCATGCGATCCGCGGCGCAGGCCTTCGCGAAACCCTACCTGCCATTGGAGGGCGGGGCCGCCTCGATGAATGTCGTCGTCCTCCCCATGGCGAGGCTGATCGATAAGATCTTTTGCATGCAGGCCGCGGCGTGCATGGGGAGCACCATCGACTCCGAGGCCCTGCGCTCCTTCAGCAATTGGCATCAAAAAGTGGAGCTACCTGAGGCCTATGCGAGTTACGAGCTCAATGCCTCCAACCCGCCCACCCTTCGCCGCGTGGATTCCTTTGCGTTGCACAACGAGAGTTGGACGTACTCGTCTACCCCGCAGGGGACGCACACGACGGAGACGGGATCGCCTGGGATCTCTGAGACCTCGAAGGAGCGTCGCTTAGCGCGGTTTCTTCGTCCAGTGCGGCGACAGCGAACCCGCCCGGGTGTTTCGCTTGAGGTGGACTTTTCCTTACCGATCCCCGATTTCACACCGGCCGATGAAAATGAGAGCAGTGATGAATCAACACAGCCTTTACGACGGAGGCGCCTCCCAAACACGCGTCCGATGGCGGCGCCCACGAGGCTAGAATACCCATGCCCCAAGTCGGTGAAACCGTCGACGCAGAGGCTCCCGTTCCGCCATTCTAAGATGAAGTTTAACGATTCCGAAGAGGAAGGTGGGTAGGGTGGGTAGCATTACTACAGAATGCCACTCAGAATTTGCCCGCAAATGTGGTGAATTTCGTGGTGGATGAATCCTCGTCCACGGCGTCATCTGATGGTACCTCGCGCCGTTATCCACTGCAGTTCGAATCAAAACAACGAGAGGGAGGAGAGGGGCTTACCAGAGCAAGCAGCGAACGACGGAAAGACCCCTTGTCTCTGATTCTTAATTTCATGATCACGACGTGAACGAGTTTTATACTTATCTCATTTGAGAGAAGTGCATTAGTTGAGGAAATCGTATCGGATTCAAGCCAATTGGTGTTTGAATTCAAGACAAGGAGCATGTGATACACTTTCTCAAATAAAAAGAAGCACGATGAAAGGTTAGTTGCAAAAACCTCATAGTATCAATAATAATAATGTGATGTTGTAAAATATCATGCCTATTTTTCGATTTCATTATTTTTTGTGAGTTGCTCCTATGTGATAATGTATTTATGCATATTTAATGTGCAATAACGTCTTCCTAGATTCAGTGTTTTCACTTTTCCATGTTTCTGTTTTTTTTGAAACAATTCCTTGAACAAATTTATATAAACACTAACGATTTTGACTGTTGCTTTCCAGTGTATCTTTTTTTTAAAAATCATCCTGCTCTATTTGCCAATGTCTATCAACTGATTTATCTTTTGATTTTCCCTTTTTTATTCTTTTAAACCTGAAAACAGAGGGAGAAGAGTTTGGTATTCGTACATCTTTGCCTTTATTTGTATGCAGGTCAAACACTCCGTTTCTGCTCCACTCCGAGCCATCGAGTTCATTGGCAACCCACTGACGGACGACATGCTTGATAGTCTTTATCATACACTCACCGACCATGAGACGCTTTCATCATTGCAGACCGTTGATTTAATGGATAACAACCTTGGTGAGAGTCGAGCTCGCCGTCTCATTTCTAATCTAGAAGTTTCAAAGGCTAAGGAAATTCGACTGCGGTTCAACAACATTGGTAAGGATGGTTGCGATGGGCTAGCGAGCGTTGTCAATATTTCGCCTTGCATTAGAATGCTTGACGTTCGCGGGAACGAGTTGGTTGCTGCAGATGTGCGCAAACTTTTCAAAGCGATTGGCGCCTCTACCACGGTCACCCACCTTAATGTTTGTAGGAACAAATTGAGTGAGGAGGGTGCTGAGATGGCGGCACGTTTCCTGGAGAAGAACACATACCTCCAATTTCTAGATTTCTCTGCAAACGACCTCGGATCTAGCGGTGCCGAACACATCGCGACGCTGCTCTCTAACCCAACCTCAACGCTCCGGGTGGTACTTTTATACGGAAACTGCCTTGGCGAGGTTGGGATGCAGCGTGTGTGTGCTGCGATGCAAACAAATAAAGAGGTCGTCCAGTTGAACTTGGGATGCAATAACGCGACCGATGCGGCAGCTGGAAGCATCGCCGATATGTTAGCGCGCAATGAGACCCTTTTGGATTTAGATATTTGCCTGAATACTATCACCGATGTGGGTATTCAGAGGATCGCGGCCGATGGGTTGGCCAACAACTACTTTCTACAGTCTCTCTGCCTTTCTGGGAACCCTTTAGGCTCGTCCGGAGCGAACATGTTGGTGAAGGCGCTCTTGTCAAACACTCGCAGCGCTTTGGAGCGGCTCAACCTTAGCTCCTGCTCGTTAGGGCCCACTGGTGGGATTCATCTCGCCAGTTTCCTCTGCCGTTCCCAGACGCTGAAGGACCTTAACCTTGCGGACAATCAACTGAACGACGAAAGCGCGTCCGCCATTGCACAGGCCACTTCCAATAGCATCTCAATATCTGCCGTTGATGTGTCTATGAATCCCTTTGGTGAACCTGCAGCTGTATGTTTTTTGGAGGCGGTCCAGCTCAATCCTCACTTGTCGAGTGTGATTTTGGACGGCAACCGGGCGAGCCGGGCGACTCAACATAAGTGGAGGGCCACCATTGAGGAATGGTTAGGAAAAAACCGGTCTGAAAACAAAGACAATTTTTCATGTGCAAATGGTCTTTACGAGGTTTCAAGGAGCCTCTGAGATACACTTTAAAAGGAAGAATGGAATGTAGATAAACGAAAGAGATCATGCATATCGTCACGAAGCAACTGGCACCGATAGCCCACCGGAGGGGAAGCATGTGTATTAAAGCTTCCGACGTCTCCGCTTCGTGTCATGGTTCTTAAGCATATCGTATCAGTTCCTTTATGTATATGGGTCAACCATCCATTCAATGGTTTGGGATATACCCAGCATTACACGCAGGAGGCAAAATAATTTGAAAAAACATTGTGGTGTTTTTTTTTTTGCCATACAAGTACTTGCAAAACATGCTTAGTAATCGGGCTTTGCTCGCCACTCAGTACAGAAATGCACCAGTGTGTTCCTCTCACCTTTTTCAGCAAACTCACCTTCTTGTTTTGAACAAGGATATTGTTTCTCGAAACTTGTAGGCATTTTCTAGATTAGAATTCATCTATTTTTCTGCTGCTTAGTATTTTACCTGGGGCGTGCACGCGGAGGGCTTTAGTATATCTCATTATTAATTTTCTCTCTGCATTAAGAAATTATTTCTAATGCAGGATTCTACGGCATTCATGACGTTGGAAAAGGCGGTGGGGCAAACCATTCAGACATTCCCAGATGGAATTCAAGCCAGCCCACGATGGAGCCCTCGCAGTGTGAACTCGTCCCGAGGCCTTGGTGTGAATCTCAATCTCTCCAAGGTGGAAGGGACCCCTAAACGGAAAAGTCCGGCCTCGCCCCGTGAGAATGCGACCCTATCCGAGATGCGCTTCGCTAACCGAACCCCACAGAAGGCTCAGAGCGGCAAGGCCAGGCCCCCCCCTCCCCGTGGAGCCGTCTCATGGGCGTCAGATGAGCACTACGGGTATCGTACCACCCAACGCCCTCCTTTCCTTGCGCTGACGGAAGGGCTCTCCCCCAGTCTGGAGCCCCTCACATTATCCACCGTCCTCGATCAAAAGCTTCTGGAGCTGCTCAAGGTGATCGTCCCCACCCAGGCGGAGCGGGAGCGTCGGCTGCGGGTGCTGCGCGATCTGGAGCGGACCCTCGCCCCCATAGGGCTTCACGTGGAGGCCTTCGGGAGCACCCTCACCGGGTTGACCACGATGGAGAGCGACCTGGATTGCGTGATGATACGAAACGAGGGGTTCATACCGGGAGGGGCGGAGATCTCCCCCAAGGTGGAGGACGCCCTGAAATCCGCCGAGTCCGACAACACCTCAATGGGGGTGCTCAGAAGGGAAGTCGCGGCGGGGGTGCAAGCCGTCGCGAAAGTGATGCGTCGCGCACGAGCGTTCAACAAAATTCTCGCCATTGCGCACGCTAAGGTGCCCATTGTGAAGTGTCTCCACCTCAATACGGGGATCAACGTGGACCTCTCCTTCGTGCGCGATGGGCTCCGCTCGTCATACTTTCTCTGCACGGAATATATGCGGCCGGGGAATGAGATGGCCAGGGCGCTTACCGTGCTCGTGAAAACCGCGGTCGCGAGCAGTGGTCTTGGGGACCCGAGCAAAGGGGGGTTGGGCTCCTTCCCCATTGCGCTTATGGTGTTGTTTTTCTTGCAAACTGAGGTCATGGAAAAGTATCCGGACGCACTTCAGCGCAGCCTCGCCGTCCTCTTTTCCGGGTTTATGAAGTTTTATGGACGGAACTTTGATTTTCAACGCCAGGGTATCGATTACATTCAGCGAAAGACTTTTAAAAAGTCATTTCTGGAGGGACTCTATATAATTAATCCCATTTGTCCGGGGGTGAATTGCGCCAGAGCCGCTGAGCGTTACGCTCAAGCTGTCATCCCCTTTTTCAGTAAGACTGCGGATAAACTCTGTTCCTTGCTAGACGAGCACGTCTCTGAGTCTCACGTTGAGGGGGTCCTTTCAGGTCTCTTTCGAAACGTTCTTTCTTACTATGGCGGCTGGTTTCGAGTCTGTGAGACAGCAAAAAAATACCGGGATGAACCACAACATCAATGGGATTCAACAGCAAACATGTATGTTGGTGGTCTTGTGGATAACCTTATATAGGGTTTGCACTATTAACTTCATTGGAACTAATTTGATTCATTTTCACAATGAATTTTGTAAGTAAACTTTTCAGCATCATTATTTAAAATGCTATTAGTGCATTGGAATGAAGATTTTACAACTAAATCTTTTTTACTTAAAAGTGATAGTTTTCTCCTAGTTCGACATTATTTATGCTTGTTTATTTCAACCATCTGAGTTTCGTAGTGTTCCTTTTCACTGTTAGTGTGTTCCTGACAATGACAACAGCGGTAAACTAAAAGAACTTATCTTTTGTTGGTCGTGTTGTTTGTCTATATGTTTATGTCCTTTATACACCATACGTTTAAGGGGAATAAAAAAGGTATAGCTTACCACTTTGTAGTGTCATTTCATATTCCTTTATCTTATGTTTGGTGAGCTTATTTGTGGCCCACCTGGCAGCGGGAAGACCACGTACTGCGAGGGAAAACGGCAGTTTCTTAGTGTCTACGATCCCACCCGGCCAGTCGCCATTGTAAACTTGGACCCAGCGAACGAGGGTGTATTTCCATATCCCTGCGATGTGGATATCCGTGAAATCGTCTCGCATAGGGTAGTGATGGACACTGAACATCTAGGACCGAATGGGAGCTACCTGTTCTGCGCAGAGGTGATGGAAAACGAAATGAATTGGCTGATTGAGCGGATCAAGGTGGTTGTTCAGCAACGGGTGCAAGAGATGCTGGACAGCCGGCCACCCGTGTCCTCTGCTGCGGCTTCTTCACTGGCACCCGTGCGGGCGCCGTATTTGCTCATTGACTGCCCAGGTCAAGTCGAGTTTTATCTAAACTCGACTATGCTGCACACTCTCTTTAGGATGATCCAAAAACGCTTGCACTGTTCCCTCTGCACTGTACACCTTGTCGACGCCGGGGTAGCCACTAGGGATATCCCAACGTATGTTTCATCCTGCCTGCTATCCCTTTCGACGATGATTGATCACGAACTTCCCCACGTGAACGTGTTAACGAAGTGGGATACGTTCGACGAGAGCGAGTTATTAGGAAACGATATAGACGAGAAAAGCCCCTACCTTTTTGCCTCTGACTTCATGACAGAGAACTTCGATAGGCTCTGGAAACGTCAGATTCAACGAAGGCGTCGTCTAGCTCAACTGGCAGATTCTTATGGTGTTGAAAATGAGATCAAGCCTCGTCTGGACACACTGGATTCTCCAGATCCTGGTTCATTGGAATCGGGGTTTCAGGATAAGAGACAGGGATATATGTACGAGTATACGAAGGCGCTAATGGGTGTTGTGGAGGGCTATGGCCTCGTTGGTTACCTCCCGTTGGATGTCCAAAATTCGGATATGATGCTGCGCTTAACGCAGGAGATCGACAACGCGGTCGGCAACTTCTTCTAGCGGATGACAGTAACTCAAATCAACTGAAGTCATGGATGATTATATACAGATTTCCAGTTGCTGTCTGTCAAAGGGAAGAGTAGGAGGGAGCTACGGTACCAGTTGAACACCGCAAGGAACAGGTAAGAGGAAGGGGTGAATGCACGTTTCTAAGTGATCGGGCTTGAAGTAAATGTGAAAATAGCTAGCCCGCAGTGGTGCGAGTGCCCAATGCGTCAAAACTATTCCAAAATGCACCCACATGCTCGGATGATTAGCATGATTGTTTCCCGCCTATCATTTTTTCTAATTACATCCACCCACACACCCATAACTAGAGCAAGAAAGTGGAAATCAGGATAACAAGTAACTCATTGATGGACCACCTTTTGGAGGTATTGCGGGTCTCCGTCGACAATGCCCAGCGCAAGGCGGCCACCGTCCGGCTTCAACACCTCCAAAGTCAGGATCCGTCGCTCTTTCTGGATCACACTTGGGCGGGCATCTCCTCCCCGGCGGTTTCCTTGGAGGAGCGGTTTTTCCTCTGCTCCGTTGTGGCGGCCTTCGTGGAGGGGTCGTGGCACCACGGCGTCCCGGCCGCCCTCCAGGCCGCCGTCCTCCACCGCTACAGCGACTTCGTCGTCCACACGAGGCTGCCTTCGTTGGGATTCGCACGGAAGTTGGCAGGTATCACCGCGTTGATGGCCAAACGAGGGGCGGGCAGGGCGCAACCCCGTGGGCTGCCGCCGCTGCTCGACTCCCTCGCTTCCACCTACGCGAATGCCCTAACGGATGCGTGTGGGGGGGAAATCGCAGTGGATGGGGGGGGGGGGGGGCAAGCCGTTTCGCTCTTCTTCCACAGCGGCTGCTGAATCTTCACATGCTCTTGAAAGAGGTGCAGACGAAGCGGATCGGGAGGGCCTTTGAGATCCTATGTAGCAAAATGATGGATCCCCTTTCCACCGTTTTTTCACGTCTTTCGTTAGATTCTCATCTGAAATGCTACGATGCCTACCTGTACTTGTTGAAGTGCGCTTTGCGCGTCTTTGGTTGTGGTGTTTTTGAACCCCGCTTCTACACATATCTGTTAGAGACGACTTGGGGGCTGTGCGGTGGACTGAACTCTGTCGAGGACGCCGATGCGCGCTCCCGACGGCTAAGGCTGTTGGAATACGCCATGAAAATACTTGAAAAGATGGTGGTGTTTTTCCCTACAAAGCTAAACTCTCTTCCGTTTGCCTTTTTCGTGCCGCCGATGTCAACCGTTCCCCATGCCTCGCACTCCCTCTTTGAGCTGGTGGTGGTTATCATCGAAACGCGTTCGTCAGCTCCGCCCTCCGCCCACCACGACCTCGGCGAGGAGGGGGAGGTGGTCTCCGAGAAGCTCGCCTGTCGGGCTGCGCGTCTGCTAACGATGTTCCTCGCCGCCGAGGACGGCGACGAGTTTGTGAGCGGTTGTGTGAAATCCTTGTGTGAGTCCCCGCTCCTTCCACGGCTGCTTCGGAGCCTGATTGTGGGTTTCCTCGCCGACGACACCTCCGCGGAGGCGCTGCGGGAGTGGGATGTCGCGGCGGAGCGGGTGGCCGGGGAGATGGACGTAGATATGGACGACGAGGCCTCCCTCACGGGCTGCAGCGAGCAGCTCTTCCTCGCGCTCACCGGCTCCACCAATGGCGGTCCTGCCAGCCTGCGGGCGGCCTGGCTGCTCGTCAACCGCCTCCTGGAAGGCGGTGAAGGCGACGTGACCGCCGCCCTGCACGCCATCGGCATCGGCTACTACACGATGGCCGCCAGCGCGACGACCGGGGATCACCGCGATTACCTCGACTTTTTGCACGGGAGGCTGCTGCCGATGATGCAGGCCGCCTCGTTCGGGGGATCGGCCCCGACGACGAGTCTTTTTATCCTCCGCCGCGTCGTCTGGCTGGTGGGGATGTGGTGTGAGTCGGTCCCCCACCCCCCCCACCGCCGGCAGGTGCACGCCGCCCTCGAGACGGTCCTTCGGGCCTATCAGGGGAGCCCCGTGATGGTGCTCACCGCCCTCCGCGCTGTCGAGAATTTCGTCTCGGATAGCAACTTTAGCGTCGAGGAGCTCACCGAGACCTCACTGGAGACGATATTTGGCTCCCTACAGAGTCTCTTGCCGCGACTGCGCTCACCTGACTCCGTCAAGGCGGTCGCGGGGCTCGCTCACGTCTTAATTGAGAAGGGTGCCCTGCGGGCTCACGGCGATTTCGTCTTGGATATCTTCCTTCCCGCCGTGGTGCAGCTCTTGTCGGCTTGTGAGGCGGCCCCTTCGAAGGCCGGCGACGGCCTCCCTGCGGGTGGGGAGGGGGGAAGCCTGGACGATGGGGAGGAGGGAGGGGGGGGCTGTCGGGATATGATCACCCTCGGCGCCCTCCTGGAGTGCCTACAGAGCTCCATTAAGGTGTGCGCCACCGAGGAGGCGGTTTGGCGGCCGTTTTCGCCCGTTGTGGTCGCGTGCAGCGCGCCCGGGCGGGTGGCGACGCCGTGGGTGGAGGACGGCGCGTGGGCCCTCCTCCTCGAGATGGGGCGCGGCGTGGGAAAGGCGGGCGGCCCTGCCACGTTGCAGCCCCTCTTGGCGGAGGCCCTGCGGTGGTCCCTCCACCACACCCAACGCGAGTTTTCCGCCCTGCCTCTCGTCTTACGGTGCGTCTACACGCTCCTGCTTGGGTGGGGGGGGAGCGCGGAGGACTTCTTCGCGGGGGAGGCTACCCCCTTGCAATGGCTGACGACGATGTGGTGCACGCCGATTCCCGAGCTGCGAAGTGCGTATTTTTGCGCGCTGACGGCAATCGTTCGGAGAGGCGGCGACAGCCTACGCCGTGGGGTGCTGCTGCAAGCCTTAGCCCTGATGGCGGCTAGTGAGGACATCCAGGCGGAGGAGGCCGGGGTGCTGGCCGCGTGCTTGGTGTATGTCTGTCTACCCGTGCAGGATCCAGGACGGGCGGCCCTCTCTCCTGGCGAGCCGCGCAGCGTGGTATCGGATATCGCTGAGGCGGTAAATAATCAGCCTCAGCTCTTGGAGAAGCTGGTTTTACTCCTGGATGTCTCACCTAATCGACTTTGCTCACATTGCATTACCTTTTTGCTTCGCCAATGTCTTGAGATGCTTCCTCAGATGTCCCCTGAGGATCGAAACATGGTGAACTTGGCGTTGGAAAGCTCACAGGTTACCATGGATGGGAGTTTGGTCGCGTTTGCGAATCAAGCCGAGGATAATAGTGCGGAATATGATCGTCCTTCTCTCGAGCTTCTTTTAGAACTTTTGGGAGACGAAGCGGTGGACCCATCCTCGCCGCATCTACTACGGCTCAGCACGTTTTTCGCGGATCTGCTCGCCTAAGATTTTATGGTCAAACTCCAATATCAAGAAGTCTGTCGATGTGTGAAGTGACCATGTTGACAAGGTAATCACACCACACACATGAACAAGCTATCCCATTTAGTGTTTGTTAATTGTTCTCTATATACTTCCAGGAACAACACGCAGTATAACGGGATGATGTATTACATATTGTTTGTAAGGATATGTGATTGCGTGCATCGAGCGATACCCTTAAAGTTTAAGAGTTGGGATAACTAATGCTAATCCTTATGGAAAGACACTCAAGGAATTTTTTTGTTTGGCTGTTTTGATGTCCAAAGAGGAGGGTCATTGTCTGTAGTTTCTGTGAATAGTATCCGAGCGATACCATTTTTTTTTGCATGTCGACACAATTCTTAATGACTAAGAAAGGAAAATAAATGTAATATCGGCTTTGCCCCTGCTTTGCTGGCGTTAATAATGCGTTTAAAACAGGCTAGTCAAGCAGGTTGGAGGTCTAGTTTATCTTCTTTTACTGGAAAGTTGTAAAGCCATCCAGACTCTTTTTTTCGTTCAAAACTTCATTAAGGAAAACAATGAGGGCTGTTTTTGTGTGGTCATAATTTTATCTGCACACTTGAGAATTCGTCCATATTAATCTCATTTTCTCACTCTTTTCATTGTTTCCGTACTTACTTTCTTTCATTGCGAATGAAATGGTAGAGACGCGGAGTGTGAGACCCCCCATCCGTCTGTGCATACCGAGGCTTCTTTGGATTATCTAAGACGACATCACGAGATGATGCATAGGCGTCAGGGCGTAAATCTCCTCTCTTGTCTTGTCCAATTCTATAGCTTTTCTAACGGCAAGGAAAGTCGGGCATTGGAAGTAACCGAGCGGCGCGATGGTTTGGAAGAGCTGACTTACTGCGCCGCTTTGAAATCGAATCTATCGCTCGATGAGGCTGGCGTGGCAACGGCTCGAGCGATTTCCCCGTCTTCACGAGGCTTCCAGGGGCTGGGAGTGGGGATGCCTCGCAGCTTTGAGAGCGACCCGCCAATAACGTCGGGCAACGCTTCGATTCCTCGCGTGAACACGGCGGAAAGTCTGAAAAATGTGAATTCGGATTTTTCAGTAGGCCTCTTTGCGGTGCCCGCGACTTCACTTGAAGACGCGGTCTTTGAAGAGGATGAGTTCTCGGCGAAACCAACACGTGAGCACGTTTGGCTAGCGTACCGCGCGCTTGCTTGGGGGACTCTTTATGCCTTTGTGGGTTTTGTTGTCGTGATCTTGCTGGGGATGGCGGCGTCTGGTTATTATGGTCTCAGTGCTCTTCTTGAAGGGGTGCGCGAGAAGGCGCACCGGGATGAAAAGCGCTTCTTTCTGTCTGCACAGACCCTGCGCCGTAATGAAGATGGTAGTGAGGCATCGCTTACGTATACAATTGATCTTTCTCAGCCCACGTTTGCTATACAGCAAATGAAAGAACTATGGCAGCTTCTCCATGAAGAAGCGCTTCAGGAGGGGAACCTGGATAAAAGGGGTCTGCGCAAGGAAAACTAACAAGAAACCAAGGATGAGGAGAGGGCAGATTTTCCATATGAACACAATCAAGGAGGGGCTTAATTTATTTCAACGATGGTGTTCGTTGTCAATTTTTTGTGAGGTTTCATGTGTGTGTGACTTTTCCACATGTGTGTGTTCCCAACATTGCACGTGTGATTTGCTACGTATTGTAGTCTAATGGACAATTTTTCGACTATCTTTGTTTTGGGGAAGGGGAGTTCCCGTTTTGTGTCCTTTTTCACATTAAAGCGTTTATTTCATACTAGTTTTGTCGTGAGAAAATATAGAAGGATGGAAAACTCTCAGCCAAGCCCGCCACACGCCTTGAGCAAAGTCAAGCACATTATTATGGTCTTGAGCGGCAAAGGTGGAGTTGGCAAGTCCACGGTTGCATGCCAGCTCGCGTTTTCATTTTTGCACATTCACCACAAGAAGGTGGGGTTGCTGGACGCGGACATTTGCGGGCCCAGTGTTCCCATGATATGCGGTTTGGAGGGGAGGGATGTCTTCCGGGATGCCCAGGGGTGGCAGCCGATCTCTCTAAAGGAGTCTGAGACTGGTGCGGTCAACTCTGCGGGATCCGCTGGGGGTGGCGAGTTGAAGGTGATGTCGATCGCCTACCTGCTTCCTAGCAACAATGACGCCGTTGTGTGGCGTGGCCCTAAAAAAGACGCCATGATCAAGCAGTTTATAGCAGACGTAAATTGGGGCCCTCTTGATTATCTTATCATCGATACACCCCCAGGCACTAGCGATGAGCACTTAACGTTGTGCGAGGTCCTGAAGCCTTTCAACCCCGCTGGAGCCGTGGTCGTTACGACACCGCAGGATGTCGCTACGGATGACGTCAAGAAGGAGCTGTCATTCTGCGCTAAACTTGGGGTTCGATGTCTGGGAATTGTTGAGAACATGTCAGGGTTTGTTTGCCCTTACTGTGAGCACTGTACCGATATTTTCAGCACTGGTGGGGGAAAGAAGTTGGCAGAGCTGTACGAAGTTATGTTTTTGGGTGCTATTCCCATCGACCCCACCCTTTCCCTCGCCGAAGACCTAGGGAAGGTGTTTGTACAAGAGGCTGCTTCCACGGAGAACTCATCTTCGCCCACAAACAAGACAGTGGCGGCGCTCAATACTGTGATTGACAACATCCTTGGTCAAGTACACCGTGCCAACCAAAGCTAGCGAGTCAGCTTCTTCTTATACTATAACCCAAATCGCAATGAAGTGTATGCGTGCTTACGGTCTATTAAGTTCATTTTACCGCCGTAATCTGGTGAATAGCTCTTTTAAAAAACTTTGCATGGATTTATCTTTTAAAATTGCATGTGAGTATAAAACACATTTTGGAAACCACATCCCTCTCTCTCTCTCTGAATATTTATGGATAATACACCTAATCTGAAGACCATGCTCTTGTCATCCTCGAGACAATCAGGAGGACAGAGGAGGGGAGAGGACACTTAATTTCTTATCTAATAATTCTTCTTGGATGTGTGTATGTGAATTTGTGCTTTATGGTATACATTCACCTCAGTAAAGCTATCGCGGTGCACACATAAATAAGCTGTTAGGAGAGCGAACCAAGAAATGGCTGGAAAGCGTTCTCAGCAACATCATGTATCTCGGCCAAGGGCCCCCGCGGATTACCTACACATTGCGATTTGCCTTTTTTACACTGGCACGGCCTTTCGCGGCCTTCAACTCCAGACGCACAGCCCCACCCACCACACCATCGAGGGCCTGCTCATTCAAGCCATGAAGGATATCGGCCTCATCGCAGAGCTGGAGCGTGGCCGCCCGAAAGGCGTGGAACACCACCTCAGCCGAGCCTGTCGGACCGACCGCGGCGTCCACGCCACGCGAAATTTGGTTTCCTTATTCGTGCGCAAAGACACCTTCACATCACTGGGTGCGGAGTCGGGGATTGAAGCGGCGATGAACGCGAAGCTGCCACCTCACGTGCGCGTCGCGAAGGTCTCTCTCGTCACGCGCGATTTCATCCCACGAAACTGCTGCAATCGAAGGGTCTACCGCTACGCGATCCCGGCCTACGCCCTCCTGCCACCGGCGGATACGTGGGAGGCGATGCAGGGGGCCTTCCCGGGGTGGGAGCACTCCATCGCGGCGCTGATAGCGACGAGGGGCTCGCCTCTTTTTCCTCCCTCCCCCGCGATGCCCTCTGGCGATTCGAGGGTGGAATCCACGGCGAATGAGGTTATGATTGTGAATCTTAGCAGGTGTGGGGATGGGCAAGGTGGGGGCGATTCCTCAGGCGCGGCGGAGACTTCGGAGGCCTCAGCCGAGCCGCCACCCGCGGTGGCCTCACCAGCCTGGCTGGTTTCCTTGTCTGCCGCCGTGGAGAGGTGCAACGCACTGCTGGAGGCGTCCTTCGTCGGGGCGCATCGGTTTCACAACTTCTCCGGCGACCCGCAAGACCCCCTCTTGAGTGCTCGAGCGAGCGCGAAGGCGGTTCCGCCGGACCGCGACGAGGCGTTGCGGGTGATCTATCGATGCGAAATCGCCCCGCGGGTGTATTTCTTCCCCACCGCGCGTTGTGGTCCGACGCTGGCAGAGTACGAGGCGAACCTCCGCGCGATCCGGCCCCCCGCCGGCGAGGCGGCGGCGCGCCCCCCCTCCCCCTCCCTTCCCCCCCCCCGCCCACCTGCCCTTTGTGTTCTTCCAGATCGAGGGGAACTCCTTCCTCTTCAATATGAT